GTTTGCCGAAAACTCCCTACTCCTTATTATATGAGGAAGCATTGCATTTTAGATTGCAATGTATGTATGTTGCTGGTGAATTTATATGAATGAATATATATATATATATAACACGCACAAATTACTTGTTTTAACATGTCGAAAATATAGCCAGTAGCAACGTTTGATTGGCATGTTTGTTTGTTGATCCTTCATAATTTGTTATTGGGTTTCTGATTGGATGATTAGAAAACTTTCTTAAGATTGTTGTTTCTTTTTCAGCTATGTGTTTGCCTAAAGAGAAAATTATAAGGTGAAGTTCCAATTCTTAATATGAGCTTTGATGTTAGATGTCCTGATATTCTTGTTTGTCTCCATCAAAAACTTTAGATATCTTTTCTAGTAATCACTTCAAGCATTATTTTTATGCTTCATCATTGCTACTTGCCTTGTTTTTATGTTGCAGTGTTAACTTTTGTGTTATGAGATAATAAATGTAGGATCTTACAAGCTTAAATCAAGCTAGGCTGGAGATTTGGTGATGGAATCTGCACAAGAAAACAGAAATAGTAAGGGTTTGAGCACACAAAAAGTTGCCAGTTTGGGTGAAAATGATCAATCAAACCCAGAAAAGTTAAGCTCATCCTCATCATCTTCTTCCTTTAAAGATCCATTTGAATTCGACGTAGAAACGAGTAAGTCTATAGCAGGCACAACAAACCATGACAAAGATAACAGTGAAGATGACATTCCCGTCAGCTCTATGCCGAGGAATGGACAGTCTTCTGATGGAGAATCAGGGGCCCCATCATCAGCACCATCAGCACAAGTAATGGAGCGAACCAATGACTGTGCTACACCTGATGCATACCGGATACCGGACTATGTTTTTGCTAGAACTAAATCTACAGCACCAATGGAATGGAGTACTGCTTCCAATGAATCCTTGTTCAGCATTCATATGGGGAATATGAGTTTCACCAGAGATCATACTTTGTGGATGAAGTCTGGAGAGCTTGGAATGCCTGGTGATATTCAGTTCCCTGAACCACCTACTGAATTATCAAATAATCCACCCCCTCCGGAGAATAAACCAGTTGCCATTGATGCGGGTGAAAGAAGTCCAACATTGAATAATGGAGGGTTTGGCATAACCGAAGCAGAAGCCGCTGAAACAATGAGGGAGGTTATAAGGGAAAATGAAGAAGATTGTAGTAACGAAGGAAAAGTAATTGCTGCTAAGGAATCACACAATTCTCCAAGACTCTCACACCGTTCCGATGGGAGTGTTAGTGTTAGATCTTTTGCATTTCCAGTGTAAGCTCTTTCTCCGAATTCTGGATTTACATTGCTCATTGTATTTGTGTTTATGCTTATACATTCTTACTGTACTATTTCTTTTCTTCCTAAAATGCTTATCCAGTTTTAAACAGAATACTCAAGTGTTCTTCTTTCCTTGTTTATTTGCACAGATTGACATCGGATAATTTGGATAAAAGTGGCACACTTAGGGGAGGGGGAGGTGGAGATAAGCAAAAGAAGGCTGCACAACAGGCTACACAGCCTCAACTGGACTCCGAATCCCACAAATTACAGACGCAGAGTACTAAACAAAATGCTAATACACAGCAGAATAAGTGGCTATCCTGCTTCCCTTGTTGTCCATCTCGCTCTTGACTAGATATGATGCAGCTAACCATTGCATTTGCAGTTTTCCATGTGTAGTTTCTTCACTTACTGCCTCTGCAATAGCTAATTGTCTCCCATGTTAGTGGACTGTATCAACATTCTCAAATTTGTGATTTGAATTGTCTGTGAGGTTGGTCAGTCAGTCAGTCAGTCAGTCAGTCAGCTAGTTTTTTTAGCATTGATAGGGAAAGTGATTGGCTGGGAAATATTTTCTGCCATCCATTACACTGAAAATGTAGTTAGGGAAATACATAAATTACCAGTGGTTTATTTTATGTTGAAACTTCCCTTTTTCAGGAACTACACCATGGTTTTCCTTTCCGCAGTTCATTTGCTCTCATAATCTATTACCATACGTCATATTTGTTGGTTAGAAACCATTGCTGAAATTTTCATCAAGCTTGAAGGGAGTTTCTGGGAAGCAGAGAAGGGACTCTGGGTTTGGAGGAAGAAGCTTCAGGAATTTTGGGGAGATAGAACAGGGAGACTTGGAAGAGGGAGCTGCAGAAGTTGGTAGAAAGCCTTGTTTGGGTTGAAAGGTTGAAGAAAGGAAAGAAAAAGGACAGAGCTGTGAGAAAATAAAAGAAGGAAAAACAGAAAGGGAGGGAGAAGAAGAGACAGCGACGGATCTGGGCCTTGATCCAGATCTTTGGGGCCATCCCCATCTCCTTGAACGACTTTTGGTTTTCCCAGATGGAGGAATGGATTGAATTAAAAAGAAGGATTTCCTATGTTATCTGAGAAGCGTACTGGAAAACTTGGTGTGCTGGATTTGTAGCAGTGACTTCAATAATGTCACCAGTTGGTATTTAATTACGTAAGGACGAATCGTGTCCGTTGGTTTGTCAGAAAAAGGCGCCGCTTACTTCCTGTCAACCTCTGCTGCAATTCTTATTTAAATCCAACGGCTACCAGCTTTATCATCTCATTAATGCTTACCATATCACAGCAGAGAATCCTCTTAGCTACCTGCTACAGAATTCTCCTTTCTTTTTTTTTGGCATTTTACCACTAAATTATCAAAATAAAATATCTATAAAATACAGTAAAATAATCATTTAATTTTATAAATATAAGCAACTGTCTAATAAATCTTGGGTTGGCATGTTTTGTAAGACAAGATATATAATAGTATTTTAAAAAATAATATAATTTGAAAATGTTGCTTTAATTAATTGTTTAAGTTAATAAGATTAAATTAAAAAATTGTTTAAAAATAATATTTCTAACACTCCCAATAATTTTCTGAATTTACAATTTCATTTAATAAAATATTATCTAATATAAACGCCTCAGTTATATCATAAGATATTGGATGAATTATTTATTATTCAAGATATAAATTATTTGATATATTATAATAAAAATAAACCGATATAGTTTAAAAGTTGTACCAACTAAAATAAAATTTCACTTTAATAATGTTAATTATTTTTTAATCTACATTATAATAACAGAGATTTATTAAGAAAGAAAAATAAGTCAATAATAATTATTTCGAGCGTATATATATATATTTTTTAATTTTCGTCTTAAATACAAATTTTTAACATATATATTTTTTTTATCATTTCTCATATAATTCAAATAAAAAATTTACTTTTTTAACAATTTAATTTGTTAATTTAAATTGTGAAACTACATTGCAACATAACCTACATTTACATATTTGGCATTATAATTCATTGCAATATTTTTAAATTCAATTTTTTTAAAAAGAATTAGAGCATAAATTAATTAATTTTCATCCTTTAACTAGAGAAAAATTTCGTACCAAATTTTTATAAACAAGCCAAAAATACATACTAAGAAAATCGCCAAAAAAAGGAACAAATTAGTAGATATTAATCAATAATTATATAATAATTATTATATATAGCTAAATCCATATATTAGTTAAAGGGCATAATTATATTAAATTAACAAGCTAATTAGAAGAATAATTAAGAGGATAATATATCGTTACTAATCTCATTATCCCTATAAGCAGAATGCAGAGGAAAAAGAGGTAGTAGCTCGGGCTGAGCTCCTCTGGGTGTACTCGGCCGATTCGGATGCAAATAAAATCCTTTCTCCGCAATCGTCTTCATAATCTCCTCCTCTTCCATCTCCTCCTCCTGGGTCGGAGACCGTGGGCTGACGCGTCCCCAGAAGTCTAAATGCGAGACCGGAGAAGCCAGGAAGCCCGCGAGTTGGCCGCCGGCGAAGGCAAACGGATCGGCGGCGGGAGCAGGTGGGTGGTGATTAAAATTAGTGGTAGTGATGTGAAGTTTGTTGGCGCAGAGTCTGCGGTTGTGGAGATTGACTGGGTGGGAGGAAGCGCCGGTGAGTTTTTGGACGATGGTGCGGAAGTTGGAAGGGTCGGCTTGGACAAAGGTGGTGTTGGGTCCGGCAAAGTCAGGGTGGTGGTGGTCGTGGCGGTTCATGACGGCGTTTGTGGAAGACTGGTTGGTGTTGGAAGTGGAAGCCACGGAAGAGATGATGATGATGATGATGATGATGAGCTCTGAGCACGCATCAAATGGAGGCTTTTAATACAGACTCCACCAGAGAGAGAGAGAGAGAGAGGGAGAGAGAGGTTGAGTGGTTTGGTTAAGACGAGAATTTGGGACTTTATGTTATTTGCTATTTAAAGAGTAATTTATGGTCTTAAAAAAAAAAAAGAAAAAGAAAGAAAGTAAGAAAGAAAGTGAAGTGTTTGGGAAAGGCTGGTTTCAGGATTCTGTTAATTCATTGGTGTAGACTAATGATAAGAGTCAAAGTGTTAATTACTTTTAGACTCTTCGTTTGACTTTTGTTATCACCTTATTTATTATTTTCATTGTTTTATTAAATTTTCTTTTTTTCTTCAACTTTAGTCAAATTGTTTAGTGTTATGCATCAAGTTATAATTTTCTATTCTTAATATACAGTTATTTATATATATATATCATTAATTTTTGAAGAATAAAGTTATATAGAGGTCAAGCATTAGAGAATTGAATGAATAATACCAAAAAAAAATTATACACGTATGGAAATGATAAAATAAAAACATAACGAACCATATTGACATAAAGATATGTGAATTGTTAAATAAATTAAAAGATTTAGGGTATAGGGTCACAAAAATGCAAAAAAAATTATAGTTATAACTTCTCGATACTAATAAAAGAGAAAGATGATATGAATGTTAGAAATAAGTTAAAAGTGTTTGACTAAAATATGAGGAGATTATAATAAAGTTCAGTTAGTATTATATAAAAATAAAAGATTTACTATAAATATTATATTGCATTTGGTTAGAGGGAGAAAAGGATTTGTGAAGGAATACTAGTAAAATGTCATGTTATGTAACAAACCGCATGAAAATAAGAATGAGGAGATAAGACATTAAGAAACAATAGAACCATAAGAAGTAGACTAAGAAAGAGGATAAGGATGTCATATGGGAATGTTAAAGATACTGAACTCGAGAATCAATAAATAGTATTAAAAGTGGAGCGACAACCCTAAAAATTTAGAAAGAAAAAATTTAATAAAATAAACAAATAACAATTAGTATGCAACTTGAGTTATACACAAATAACAATTAGGATTGTGTTTATCCAAAAATTAAAGTGCAAAGCTTTGGACCTGTAAAACTTTGTTAAGAGGTAAATTTTTTTTATAAAAATTATAATCATAATTTGTTCAGCATAAAAATAAAAGAATATATAAGATTAAATTATACAAAACTGTGTAAAGATTTGTCTAGATTGCATATAGTTTATCTCATGTAAACAAGATTAAATAGTCAAAATTTGTTAAGGTTATCGTAAAAATTCTTTCACGTCATAAAATTAAACAAAAAAATTATAATTTATAAGTTATTATATATTTTACTTAGAGTATTAAATTTGAATATTAAATCTAAGTTAATGAATAAAATTGTTAATATTCTATTTAAATTAACAATAAAATTTATAGGTGAGTACTTAATCTAGAGATATATAAGTAAAAATCAAGATAATAAATTTTATATTCTCGGCAATTTAATTATTTTGTTTAATATAAATACGAAGACAAAACTAAAATTTTAGATTTAATCAAATTTAATTTAGAAATTTATTCAAAACACATCAAATTTTTTTTTTCAAAAAAAAAAAAAGAAAATTAGTAATTGTTAAAACATAAAATTATTTAACTTCATAATTAGAAATTTAACAATTAATTAATTAATTAATTTAATTATTTGTTTTAGTGGAATCCAGGAATGAATAGTGATGTAGATGGGGCCCAGGAATCATGATGAGTCGTTTTAAGTCAGCGGGAACAAGAAACGAGGAGAGCAGACGCGGAGACCCTTTTTTGTTTTTCTTTTAAGGAAAGCAAAAAGTCAGAACCTCATCCGTTGACTTCCGATTCTTCTCTCTATGTTTAAATTAAAAAATTAAAATTAAAATTTGAATTATTATTTTATATATATTTTAATTTATTTAAAAATAATAATATTTTTTTTCAAGAGAAAAAAAAAAAAAGAAAAAAAGAAAAAATTGGGTGGGGTTTTGTTTGTTTGCGTGAAGGATTGCAGTTTGACAAATTTGGTTTTGCTTGGCTGGGACGGTTTGCTTTTCCCTCTGACGCGTTTTATACATCTTTATCATCCTCCAGATTTCTATATTATAATATACATATATATATATGTGTATATATTGGAAAAACTATAAACATATATAAATATAATAACACATTAATTAATATAATATATATTTTTTTTATGAAGACAGACAGTTTAAATTGAACCTACTGTATCTTATACAGAGATGTATAAATCTAATGATTCAACTATAAAATAATTGATATGTTTTATGCTTTAGTCATGATATTATATCTGAAATTAATTGTTAAAATTTTTATATTCTATTAAAAAATTATAAATTTAAATTTTATTTTATAAGTATATTATTTATAATATTTAATTTAATAAAATTTAAAATTTAACGTATTAGCGTGTTGGTTAAATTATAGCGATCAAATTAGATTTTGTTCAACGAGACACGGACGTAACCCGGATGAAAAGAACATTCTGTGACGACTAAATTTTTTTAGTAAGTCGAAAGGGTTTTCTTTTACGGGTTGGGCTTTTTGCTGTTTGAAAGAGGGGGGCCTGGTCCAAAAGGTTAAGGGTTTGGGTTTTGGGCCTCCTCTATTTTTTCTTTTGGAAAATAATAAGATATGTTTTAAATTTCATGTTTATTGAATTCTTAAATTTATTTATTTATTTAATTTTTATTTTTAAAATTGGAAATATTAAAATAGGAGAAAGAAAATCAGACTTACATTTTAGTTCATAAAAAAAAGGAAAAAAAAAATGCAAAAATTAAGTCTTAGATTTGTCCTTTCATTAATTAGTGTAATCATTTACGATCATTAAACCACGTTTTAACGAAGATAACATGAACGCGTAATCTAACTTTTTATTCACATACTTATAATCGGGATTGATATTTTTGACCTAAATCTGTCTGTGTGTCCGAATCCGATCTTTTTTTTTTTTTTGAAATAGTAAGTTAGTGTTGATGGATGGAGTTGAATATGTTTAAATATATACAAATACTTGTATATAGAGATGGTGAAACTCAACCCAAATCCGTGCAATTGGCATTTCAATTTATGGTAAGAAAGAGAAGTAACAAGTAATACCATTTCACCTATAAATAATGAATACGTACATCACCATATCTTATGTTGTCAATGCCGTACAAATACATTGATTTCACAAACCCTATCTTTAAATCCCACCACATCTTCACTGTAGCAATCTTGAATATCCTTCAACTTCACCATCTCCACCGACAGCTTTAGAACCAAAATATCTGCAATCATCTATTTCTGAATTTCAATATAATTATAATTAAATTTATCACTGTCAAAAAATATAATAGACCCAGTTAAAACTATCCACAAATTCACAAAACACTTGATGTAATTTACCCTGCTAGTTGAATATCAAGCAATCATCGCCCACTCAAAAATCAAAAACTCATCTGGTTCTTTGACAACCCAAGCTCATGCAAAGAGCTGTGACCTAAGGGCTTCCAAAAAAGAAAAGAAAAGAAAAAGAAACCCATATTAGCTTTTCTTCTGGATTAGTCTCCTATCGTTGTCAATCAATTGAATTGTCACAATAAGGAGTGAAAGAATCCAAATAATCTCACATCATCCACTTGCCTTTATTCACCTTATAATCAGAAAATTATGCCATCGTCAAGTTGTTAGCAACTCTGGGAGCTTCAATCACTGGTAAGACTGTTGAAAAAAAATGGCAGGAGCTGCTGAGATTCTGCTCTCAAAACGTGTTCAGGAAATGGTACTCAACGGCGAACAACCACCCGAGTTGTATATCAGCAGAGATGGCAGTGAAGGTGTGGATGTGTGCTCTGCGTCGACTCCCGTTCCTATTGTTGATATCAGTTTTTTCTCATCATCAGTGCCAAGCGACGTGCAAGGAGAAGAGCTGCAGAAGCTAAGATCGATACTTTCCACTTGGGGCTGTTTTCAGGTTCGAATTCTACAGGAAGATAGGGAGAACAAAATAAGATAATTTATTTGTGAGATCTATCGTTGTTTACTGTCCTGAGAGAGAAAATAACATACTGACAACATATTATTAATTAAGTAGAATCAATAGGACAGATAGAGACCAGAAAAGCAACGCTGTGATGAGTATTGAGAAAAATTTTAACAGACATCATAATTTTAAGTAATACTTTGTTGGAAATGAGAGGAAGAAGAATGAGATACTAATAAAAAGATTCAATTTTTAAATTTGTAGTCTTGTATCTATAAAATTTTAATATATGTATTTATATAAATACTAACACAACTCTTAAAATTTTAAATTCATGAACCATAATTAAGTTTAGTACAAGAACCACTTCAGAAAACTCAAAATACACGTATTGATTATCATATTCATAACTTAAAGTTAAGTTAATTCTCTTATAAATCAAAGAATTTAAATATGTTGAAATTTACAAATTATTATTTTCAACAATGAGAACCAGAGACTAGAGATTATAATTTGCTCTACAACACTTAAAGCAGAATGCTAAAAGTGCTTGTTGTGGGTTTATCAGGCAATAGGTCATGGGATTCCAACTTCATTCCTTGACGAGGTTCGCCAAGTCGGAAGGGAATTCTTCGAACAGCCAATGGGAGAGAAAAAAAAGTATGCCAAAGGAGTTAACGAGTTTGCAGGGTATGGCGCCGATCCTGTCCCTGAAGAAGGTCAGTTCCTTGACTGGTCAGATCGTCTGTTTCTTGATGTATACCCGGAGGATCTAAAACAAGCCATATACTGGCCCGAGAATCCTAAATCATTCAGGTGATCTCGTGTATTTTTTGCATTTTATCAACCCTAATATCTCCAGCTATCAATCATGACTTTCTGATTCCAATGATACAGAAAAATCTTAGAAGAGTACACAGTTAAGATAAGAAAGGTGACAGAAGTTATTTCCAGAGGCATGGCAAAATCATTGCAGCTACAAGAAAATTGCTTCCTGGATCATTTTGGTGAAAGAGCAACATTACAAGCAAGGTTTAACTACTACTCTTGTTGCCAGAGGCCCGAAGTTGTTCTTGGTTTAAAACCCCATTCTGATAGCTCAGGATACACCCTTATCCTACAAGATGATGTCCAAGGCCTTCAAATCCTGAAACACCAGCAATGGGTCACTGTTCCTACAATCTCTAATGCTATACTAGTCCTCATGGGTGATCAAATGCAGGTATGTAAATGCGTGATGGAATCTGAATTGGTTTTGTAAGATTTGTCTTTTATTGAGTCAAAAGAACTTGATGCTAGCAGATTATGACCAATGGAATATTCAAGAGTCCGGTGCATAGAGTTTTGAGTAATTCAACTAGGGAAAGGCTATCTGTTGCCATGTTTTACACGCCCGAACCAGACAAAGACATTGGACCCGAGGACAGCTTGATCAGGGAGGACAAACCAAGACTATTCAAGAAGGTGAGAAACTATGCTAGCACACACTTGGAGTACTATCAACGAGGCATGAGAGCAATTCATGTTGCTGAAATTTGAATATATACCATCTTAGTCTCTTGAGGTTTGTATAAAGATAACCAAGTGGAGTCTAATGGTAGACCAGTGCTTTTTGAGTGCTATTAGCATTTTATGCACCCATGAGGGGTTTCCTTCCTGTAATTCAGCATATGTTCCTAGTGCCGTTTAATACACTACTGTGAAGTTACATGTCAAAACAAACTGCCTTGCGATGATCCAGTTCCACTCCTTTTTTCTTCCTCCAACAAATTTTAAATTCAAACATGTGAAAACAGATCAAAACCCAACTCTTCATTGATGAACAGACAAGACTCCAACCAGGATAACAGAGACTCCTAACCTAGGGGAAATAAATCTTAATGTGCACCCACAAGGTGACACTTCATTGACTGTACAATTTTAAATCTACACGGCAGATTAAATGTTGTAAGAAAAAGCTGCAGTGGGTCTCCTTAATTCTGAAAAGGTCTTATCAGCTTTTATTGAGCACAAAGAAAGTAGTAAATTTAATTCAGATAAGGTATGTTTTGATTTAAGGGCAAAGTATATAACCCCTAGAATTTGGTACAATAAACAAAAATTACCCAAATTTTAAGCCTGAATATACAAATCATTATACAATTAATATATTTCCCTTTATTTAACATAAATTTATTAAATTAATAAAATCAATATAATAACCCCAATAATTTATTTAAATCATAAAAATGTATTAAATTAATTAATAATTTGATATTAATACATTATTTAGAACTAATTTTTTTTTTTTTTTTTTTTATCAAATTTCCTCCATGGCTTTAGCCTCTTCTTAGTACTAGTCACATTCATCACTAACATACAATAAATTTCTTTTTCTCCATTTTCAACAACCCACCATCCTCACCACCTCTTTAAATTATTTAATTTCTGCACACGGGAAGAAAGTGACTACCTTGGGAAGCACATACATAATACCAAAAAGAGTAAGCATCATCTGATTTCTCCAATCTTGTAAATCTACAAAATATGCAGATTTGATGAAATTGATCGGCAATTGAAGGAATGGAACTGAAATTCCATTGCAAGATTATGCAGGAAAACAGGATTCTAATTCCCTTACAAGAGATAAACAATTCATAAACAGTCCAAATCTGAATTTGCAGAAAAAATATGTATATATGATGTGAAAAGAGCCTATAAATGTCAAAGCCCGGCTAAGATAAACTGTATAGGTAATAATAATAAAAAATTTATCTATTGAAAATTTTTGCAAGAAATAAGAACAAGGAATGATTTGGAAGAGGTTGAGCGAATGGTAATGGCTGAAAACAAAGCAGAAGAGTTCTCTTATAAGCTGTAAATGTGATTTGCAGAGGTGAAGTTTATGATTTTACAAATGGTAATTTTACAAATGAGGTTTTCTATAGTAATTTTAAAGGTGAGATACTCATTTATGATTGTAATCACTAATATATTTTATTACATTATGATTACTGTATATGTGTAATCTATAACTAAAGAAACATATAAATTTTTAGTAAAAATAATATTTTAAATATGAGAATAAAATATTTGCAAAAATTTGTTTAAAGTAAGAATTTTTTTTTTTTTTAAAAAAAATTAGTGAATTTTGTATATTATAACAAAAAAACTCAAAGGAGTTTCTGTATTTTACAATTGATTTAATCCTGCTTAATTTTTTAAGCAGGAATTAACTCATTAAATATAAGATAACATTATAATATGAGCAGTATAATAATGACATTTAGTAAAACAAGTAATTGAGAATCGAAACAACTATACCTTTGTGTCTTCACATTCTACTTAAAACCCTTTTATTCTTCTAATCAATCTGCTGCACCATTTGAATGACTGAAAGTTATTAATAATAGTTTAAAAGATTTACACTTTTTGATTATAAAATTTTTTCATGAATAACCAATCGATTCAGCAACATCCTCAAATAATCTCCTGAATGGAATAAAAGAGATACCTCTGAAAAATTCTATGGCTACGACACCCACCATAAGAGCAGCCTCATGCCAGAATATCACCTCTCTTCTCTGGAAATCTCCATGGAAGGAGCTTCAACTGGAGTAGTACCATCTGTAAGAAGCTTCTGCTCCAGATACAACACAGGTTTCTCAACCGATCCCCCAAACAACTGATTCCTACAAACATTATGCAGATGCCCAAATAAATCCTTCTTAAGAGACTCAAAAGCCATATCCAACTTTTGCAGCTGCTCCAAAGCATTCTTATTATACATGAACAACCCATAGTACAAATCAAAGCTATCCCCTGCAGTATTCTCCACCAGATTCAACAATGTCTCGTACCCTTTAGTGTTAATCGGCGACGACTCTAATCCAAACTTCTCCAGCACCCGCCCCATGGTATGGGTCACGAATTGTGACCCAGCAGCGCACTTATCGTGTTCTGCGCAACTCATCTCCACCATTCTACAACCTTCTTTCTCGAAAATAGTCAGAAATTTATTGCATCTTCCTAGTCTATACGGGTCATTCCCTATACGAACTTTATCAAACACGAAAGGAAGACCAGCCCAGGAACCCTTACCACTCTCGGGCCCGAACATTGGATGGGTACAGAGAATGTCGAATTCTTCCGGCAGATATTTGACCATGACACTACGAGGGAACTCTTTGACGGAAAGTACATCCACGAAGAGAGTGTTTCGTCGGAGTCGTTGGAAGGGAAATTTACCGAGAACTTCCTCGATGGAGAGAATGGAAGTGGAGAGGAGAACGACTTCCGGGTGCTGCTCGCAGAGGTCGTTGAGGTCGTGGAAGAAGGTGAGACCGAGGTCGGCGGCGGCGAGAGAGTAGTCGGAGCGGGAGTGAGGGAGGATTGTGTGGCCATGACGTAGGATGGTTTTAGAGAGAAACTGGCCGAAGTTGCCGAAGCCGACGACGGCGATCTTGAGTGCATTGGATTTCAGGTACTGGGATTTGAATTGGGTCTCGTAATCAAAGGGCTGAGCAGCGTCGAGAGAGAGGATTCGAAGGCGTGGAGGAGGGTTTCGGATGGAAGGAATTGGCGGGGAATGGAGAGAAACAAAGGGAGAGAGAGATTGCAGAAATGGAGGGAAAGAAGATGGGAACTTCAGAGGCTTGGCGGAAGAAAAGGGTATCATGTTGGTTTGCTTACAGTGAGCGAGCAACAAGGAGCATGTAGAGGTTAATGGGTAGGATTATGGAGGGAGATACACACACACACACACATATATATATATACACACATATGAACTTTGGAGGCTGTAAATTAATAATTTTATTGAATAAATTGAATAAATAACAAGTATAAAGTAAAATACTTTCTTGACATATACAATCAATTTCCCTAATCTTTAATTTAAATTATTTGGAACTTCAAATACGATTCATTAGAAGGGAGAAAATAAATGATGTTACAAGACACTCTCTTATCATAATTGCATGGCTCCCTATATCTCATTCCTTAGTTTTATTTTTTATTTTTGATGGAAATGTACATTAAAAATATTAATATAAATACTTATAAAGAAATATATAGCTCATTTTATTTACCACCATGAAAATTGAGTTTTTTTTTTAAAAAAATTTAGCCTTAAATTATAATAAAAAGAAATTTAAAAGTAATTTTAGAATTTCAAAGTTTTATAATAAAGTGAAAATTATGAACTTATCATTTTTCTAAACATTTTTTTTATTTTTTGTTGGATAAGAAAGAAAAATTAAATGAAGAAAAATTTCGGTAAAAGAATAAAGACAAAGAAAATGTTGACTTATTTAATCAAAAAAAAATTTCATAATTAAAGATAGTGAAACTACATATACTTCTATAAGAACAAACTTAACCACCAACTTCCCTGATGTGTTTCTTCTTGCTACGTTTAGAAGATCTTGAAAAACAGACCACCATGGGTGGCAAAAGAGGGAGCAAATACCAGAGATTCCACTACCATGAGCTTGATGAGGATGTTGAGGGATGGGCCAGAGGTATCCTTGAGCGGGTGCCCAATGGTGTCACCAATAACAGCTGCTTTGTGCGACCTAGATCCCTTTAGACCAAGACTTCTCGCATGCTCCGAGGCACCAGCCTGATTAATAAAATCCAAATTGAAGTTATTTTAATAATCCATCTTTATATAATACTGTAAAGATATACAAGCATATGTACGGGCAAGAAATAATAAAAGGCAATGTAAGTTTGTTCTATACATTACTTACCTCAATATACTTTTTCGCATTATCCCATGCACCACCAGTATTTGATGCAGATATTGCAATCTGTTGAAACCTAGAGAGTAGTTAAAAAAACATGCATACTCAATCATCGTTTATACAGAGACTATTGTAACTAATAAATATATCGTCCTTTAATTGCCATTTTGATGCTAAAAAATTACCTACATATAAAAAACGAGAGAACTAGTAAGGATGCTAGACAAAGTCTCAACATCAAAGAAGATTCCAACTATAAGGGGAGTAAGCATGACAAGGACACTGGGTGGAATCATCTCCTTGATAGATGCATCGGTGGAAATTTTGACACAGGTAGCATAATCAAGCTTGACATGACCCTCCATGAGACCAGGAGTGCTGTTGAATTGGCCACGAACTGTTGGACTTTTTCTTATATGTGAGCTTAATGTGGGTATTGGTATACGTATCAGACTATCAATTTAATGAGTTTGTTTAAAAATAATTAAATACGGCTAAACAATATTGAGTCTTAATGTATCGAGATTAAGTATGAGTTTATAATGTACAAATATTATTTTTATAATATTTTCGTTTTATGATGAGTGAAATTTTATCATTGGACTGCGTACTGTTGATAGCATATAAAGATCATTAAAGATATTTTATGACAATAAGTCTGCAATTATGTATTTCAACAATAACATGAGTTCAACGAAGTTAAAGCATATAAATATAAAGTTCTTCGTTGTTCAAAAAAGAGTTCAGAATAAACAGATATCAATAGAGCACATTGGAACAAATTCCATAATTATGGCTCCGCTTGCTAAGAGATTACCACCTAATGTCTTTCATGAGCACACTACTCATATGAGTATTGTATCTTTAGATGATGTATAGGTTTAGTGGGAGTCTTGTACCATAGGTGCATTTATTTTATAAGACATGTCATAAACTTTATACTTTGATTTTGATTTATGATTATATGGTTTCCTTTCAGTTATTATATTTTTTTCGTTTTTGTTTATATATATTATCTCTGATTTTTTTTACAGTTGATTTCACTAAAGTTAAGACAAGACCAGTTGGAAATATATATGATTAGATCACATAGCATGTAGTTTTCATATTGTACATCTATATTTGATCCATGTCGTTCGATTATATTGATATACGTGACCATTGATGAATTTAGCTATGTTAGCTGCAACGAAGATTACTTTAATCATATATTGTTATGATCGATAAACGAGATTGTTTGATAATACATTCAGGTATTGAGAGCACAGTTCTGAATACTATTACGATTATTTAACGCATAATTAATGTGTCATATAAAGCCCAAATAAGAGATTGCTGAATTTTTTTCTGACATGTGGACTTAATGTGAACTTGGCATGCGTATCAAACTATCAATTTAATGAACTCGATTAAAAATAATCAAATACGGTTAAACAGTATTGGAGCTTAATGCATTAGATTTAAGTATGAGTTTGTGATGTGCAAATACTATTTTTGTAATATTCTCGTTTTATGATAAGCGAAATGAGAATTACAAAAGTTTGTCAATATAAAAAGCAGTTATGTTCTTCAAATTACTAGATCATCATTTTATTTTTTTGAAATCATATCACTAGAAAAACTAGTTTTTGAAATATTATGTTGATTTGGAAGTATTTACCGCAAGACACGAATAAATCTTCTGCGATGGATCTAGATACACTTTCGCTTACATTTCTATGGTCAGCACGAGATTAAATGTTAGATTTA